CTCTGGGACCTAACCAACGTTTCTAGAGCGCAGTCTAAGAAAACATTTCATTATTATGGAACCAGGAAAATTATCTCAGATGGAAAGATCACGGACATACTACAAAATTTGAATGCATCTAGGACTAAAAATCTCGATCGTGTTAAATTAGAGATGTAGAGATGCATTTTAGAGTTTTGGACAATTTCTGGGACTTAAAAATTCGATTCTATGACATGATTTTTGGGTTGTAAAACATCTCAAGATCGATCTACGTAGTTTATGAACCTCTCTTTTTACCTGTTCTCAACGACTTTGAAAACGTTAATCAGGGTCGTGTTTACATTCAAATCAGTTTCAAAAGGCACAGGGTCTTCTAGTTTCACTGATGTGTATCTATTGGAAACAATATTCTGTTTATTTGTTCACGTTTTGAAAGTTGTTGAACAGGTAGATTGAGGCCGGCGCCGGTGGTGTAGAGGTAAGCGTGACTGCTTTCTCACCCCAATGGGTCTGGGTTCAATCCCAGCCGAGGTCGGTGGTCCCGGCCCATGTGTGTGTTGAATGGGTGCGATATCCTACGCAAGTGTGGAAGCTGCCTTTCTGCACATTCGATTGCCGTGAATGGATGACAATCGATGTCCGTCGGTGATTGGCACTAGATTGTGCAGACCAGAGACCGACATTAAATAAAGGAATAGCGGCGCCGGTCGTGTAGTGGTAAGCGTGATTGCCTCTCACCCCAAAATGCCTGGGTTCAATCCCAGTCAGCGCCGCCGGGATTTTCTGAGTCACAAAATCTCTGATCACGTCTTCCCTTCGGAAGGGAAGCCAAGTGCATTTTTTTTAACGCTATGGGACTAAATGGATCATTAGACCAAATTGTAAACAAAGAGAGATTGAATTAAAAAATGTTTCCCTTTAAATTGATTACAAATAAGAATAAATGGATAGAAATCCCCTTGTACAATTTGAAAAATTTCTATTGCTGATTATTCATAAAATGTGTAATTCAACTGATACGCAGATGCCTTGCAAAAAAGTTAATCAAGATCATACCGTTTATGCATTTTTATCGGACCTATGTGGTTAGTCTTATGGAATGTATAAGACTGATTTGTTAATTACTTTATTTATTTGTACAGGCTCAATCGAATAAACTTTACAGAGCCAAATTATCATTTCCGTTATACATTATTAATGTCTTAAATCTCAAGTTAAAAGCATTCAACCGAATACTCGCGGTGTTCTCGAGGTTAGTGGATGACAATTTTATAGATGTGGAGAGGGAGAAGGAGATCTGGAGTATGATTTATGATTGATTTTGAATTTTGGTATCAACCAATAGATTTCAAAACATTCAGATTACTAAATTTGATTTAATGATACATATCATAATAAAAACTAATTTAGTTTTTTTTTTGTTTTCCTTTCCTACCATAGTTATTGATTACTTATTTTGTTTATTATTAACGAAATTACTGATATCTAAACGCATACATGGATTTGTTATCAAGAATACATGATTTGTTATAATTTTAATATCCTTCATATGCCATTCGGATCTCATTATTGTTATGATTACTGTTAACTCGACCACACGATAGGCAAAATATGTTGATATTTTGAACGCTTATATCAAAATATCAAATTTAGTGTTCATTCTCTGCTCGGGTACCTAGCTGAATAGCCCTTAGTAGACAAATTGTCTAAGGTATCCTGTAAGGGTCCTTGCAGGTCGATCCCCTGTGATAGTATAAGCCTGATGTTTTGGAAACAAAGGTTGAAGTGAAACACATGAATGAAATACTTAATTTTCGTTTCGTGTAGGGAAAATTCTTGGAGTCTTCGAAGCAAGAAATTAAGTTCCCACTTGCATATAATAAACAGTATCCAAAAAAATAAAACCCAAAAAATCGCTGATTTTTTATATGATGTGTAAAAAAGCCAAGGACAAATATAAAAACATATTGCGCCCTATGTCTACAAACAATGAAAATCATAAAAAAAAAACAAATACAATTAATGTTTTTAATACAAAAGCACAAGCCCAGTTTTTTAATATCATTATTTTTTCCTAAAAAGTTTTTTGATCTTTGAAATCGGCCCAGTGGTTCAAAAGTAATAAACTTTTGAAGTCATTTCTGAAAAAAAAACGATTTTTTGGATCACCCTAACATGGAAATGGTCACCCTAATGACAAAATAAAAAAATACGAGTCTAATATTTTGCGATAAGGAACAAAACTACGAAATTTTGAGAACCACTATATCGTTTTGCTATGGAATGGCTGAAAAGTAATAAACATAAACCTCCATATGTCTTCTTCTTTTTCTTTCTCGCATTTCAAGCTTATTGCTTATAGCATATTAGCATCGACGAACCGACATGCCACAGGAGCATTTCGTTTGTCCACAATTCGAATTGTCAAATAAGCGATTCGAACTTTCAAACGGTCGATCAGATCTATCAAACGAGGTGAGACGCGAACCAAGGCAATATAAATTATACGTGGGTTCGTGTCCTTGCTCATGGTATGACGCGATCGGATGAGTAGATGTCGGTAGTGTTTAACGTATTTTAAATATGGCGTCTTGGGCACGAATTTGAAAGTAGCTTGTATGAGCTGTCACGTCGGTTCGTCGGTGATATTAGCCTATTGCGTGCTCTCAACTTAGTGTTCTAAATGCACTTCCACAGTTATTAATTAATCATATCGTCCGGCCATTTTCCACAGAGATGGCACTGTTCCGCAGGTAGGAAGTGATAAAAATCCCCATATAGAAAATTAGAGAAGTGGGAATAATTCGCTTTCGGTACATATGCCGTGTATTTTGATGACGCTCTATTTCTGATTTCCCTCTCACAGACTACAAAATAGAGTACCAGGCACTGCAAAACATGTCTGGTACCTCCATATATGCATTTCGATTAACATTCGAAGTCCCTCCTTTTTTACATATTCTGGACAAAATATACTTTCTGCCCCGCCCTATTCATAGAAAACGGCGCGAAATCCTGTCAGGCGCGGGGCTTAAACAGTATATTTTGTCCAGAATATGTAAAAAAAGAAGGGACTCGGATGCATTTTGTGTGCAGAATTTGTAAAAAAGGAGGGACTTCGGATTTTAATCTAACTGAATATATAGAGGTACCATACATGTTTTGACCGCACTGCCCTCTGTTAACAACGAGTTAACAATTAACGGAACTAAGTGTATGGGTAATTTCCGATAGATGTCACCATTAAGAACAGCAGTGACATCTGAAGGAAAATTAACATAGTCGCATGGGAACTTGGTTGTGTGGCAAGTACAATCATTCGAAAAATTCCTAGACCGAACCGGGAATCGAACCCAGCCACCTCCCAGCAACTCCAACTGTCTAGGAACCCAGCCATACAGCTACGATACGTTGTGTAAATTGTTAGTTGGAATTTGATAAGAATCCCAGAATTTAATGTAATAGGGTAGATAATTACTTCGGCCTTATCGCCCATTTTGAGCCTATCGAGCAGATAACTTCAAATAAATCCATGATATCAGAGTTAACAAGTCAATTATGAAATTGGTACGATACCTTATTTAATAAGCTACCGAATGAAATCAATGAGAACGCGTGATATGAAGGTTTGCACCCATAATTCCCAAAGACAAAATAAGTGCTCCAACCGAATAAATTTGTATCTTCATCCGATAGGCCGAAGTGAATTCATTGGCGTTTCAATGCGTTAGGCATTGGAATCCGTAGGCCGAGTTTGGCGTCAAGAAGCAGTGTTAGACTTTTTACAATATCTTAACGATTGGTTTCTCGTACAGTACGCACGGAAAGGTAAATAAATTTGGAAGCCATCAGTAATAATAACATTCCATAGGATTGTTTGGCATGCATAGTAACGCAAAGCTAAGATTGAATCAACAATTCAATTCTTCAGCACAAGGATGACTAGAAAAAAAAACAATGAATGGGATCGATCCAAGCTGCTTTTTGCATGAGATTTCTTGAAGACTGTGTTTTAAGTAATTTGTTCATGTATTTTCATCTTCCTACGTGGATTTTATTTTATTTTTCTGGACAGCCGGTGAAAATTATAACCTGAATTTATTTCTCCCTATTTATGAATACTGCATATTTGACTGCCGCTTGGCATAAATGCGGAAAAACGCTATTTATAACGATAAAGAACTTTTTTGCCATCTTTTTTTTCATGGACTGTACTTCCACGGAATATGAAAAAATAACTCATGATCAAAAGAAGGGATAGTAATCATTTGAGGGTAGTTCCTTTCTTTTGGACATGAGCTGTTCTTTTATGTTTATGGTAGAACAGATTATGATAAAAAAGCAATAAGTATTGTTCGATAAAGGCAATAAAATGCTTATTTTTTTCGGTTCATGTCAAACGGTTACTATGCCCATCCGGATGTAAAGATGATTAAACAAGTACCTAAAGACCGAAATACACGGTACAAGTGAGTTGATTCAACTCACCTTCGATTTAGTGGTCGCTATTTAAATGATATAAATGCAAACTACAACAGGTTGACATCGATCTAGTTAGTGAATTGAATACGACCTTAAATCTCCTATGTAATCTAGAGACTCAGACCTAGAAGCCAAATCTCATGACATTACTAGGTACTTATTGCCTACCCTCGAGTGTTGTTTAGATGTAAAACGCAATTAAATAACATTATTAAATTTATTTTTTTGCTGAACTGGCCCATTCCTACCGAAATCGAACCAAATCATCTCGACCGGCAGCACTGCCGCCGCTACTGCTGATGACTGCAAAAAGAAACGAAATACGCAGACCAACACGACTAAACTGGACTGGAATGGGTAGGTATTGGATGTTTCCGAATGGGACCTTCAGTTTCAAGTTTTTTTTTGCCGAAAAATCTGGCCATTTTCAAATTTACGCCCAAAACCACTTTGAGGCACCCAGTTTCGTAAAACCTTCCACTCGCTTAAGTTTATCCTACCAACCATATTTATCGAACAAAAGCAGAAACACTTACCTTCCAGCGAGACGCCTTCGTAGTCAATCTTCCGGCTTGTATGTTCCGGGCATAGAATCACTGCACACAAGCCACACACCCGCGATCGATTCGAGTGCACAATTTCGACACTAACCGGCGGCCAGATTGGCCAGGTTTGATCTTTTTTCTTTGGATTTTTAATCTCCGTTCAGATTGTTCCTGAATCCGGACAGCAACTTCTTTGTGCGGCGGCGGCGACGACACGAAAGAATGGAGAAAAATGTGGCGCTGCTGGCTGACTGATGGCAAATATGGCAGAACCAGAGAACACGCACACTCGCACGTACACTCTCGTCATAGGCCGATGACATAGTAACGCGTTTAGCGAAGCGTGCGCGTGCGCGTGTGCGTGTGCGTCTGAGCTGCTTTGATGAACGTCCATGCAAAATGCTTCGTGAAACGCTTACACATGTCATAGTACACGCGTTGCGATGCGTCAGCAATAGCGTCAAAGCACTCCTTGAAGTGTTTTCACGCGCGTGCACGCAAAAGACTATTGTAGTGCCATCGAATTTAAATGGTGATCGACTAGGAAACTGTGATTACGTATAAATAGCATCGGTAGATCGGACGTTTTAAATATAGCCGTTGTTGTTTTGTTTAATGATACATGTTAAATGTTAAACAAACTATTAATAAGAAATTGTAAATGTAAAATGTTAAATATTAAATGGTGATCGTTAAATGTTAATTTTTATATGTTAAATGCTACTCAATAAATTCTAAATTTCAAATGTAAAATTAAAAATGCCTAATGTTAATTGCTAAATGATGAATTCTAAATGCTGAATGTTAAATGTTACATATTAAAATTTACATGATAAATGTTACATGATAAATGTTACATGTTAAATTTTAAATGTTTAATGTTACATGTTAAATGTTGCATGTCAAATGTTTATTGTTTAATGTTAAATATTAATTGTTAAATGTTAAATGTAAAATTTTAAATATTTTTTGTTAATTGTTAAATGCTTAATGTTGAATGCTCAATGCTAAAGATTAAATGCTAAATACTAAATGTAATATGTTAGATGTTAGATGTAAATTTTCAATGTTAAATGTTAAATGCTAAATGTTGAATGTTAATTGTTACATTTTACACGTCACACTTTAAATGATTAATTTTAAATGTGAAATGTTAAATGTTAAATTTTAAATGTTAAATGATAAATGTTGAGTGTTTAATATATAAATTGGTTATTGTTAAATGTTTAATGCCAAATGATAGATGGAATTGTATAAATGTAAGATGTTAATTGTTAAATGTTAAATGAGCATGTCAAAGTTTATTTGCTAATGCTTGCTGTGCTATTACAAACAGAGAGTAACAATTTCAAATTTGTATGTTTTGTGGGAGCTGACATTTGTGCCTTTGAAGTTTCACGCTAAGGCTTCCTTAGAGTATTACCTTGATGTTAGACGTTAAATGTTGAATGTGTATGTCAAACGCTAAATGCTGAATATTAAATGTTACATGTTAAATGTAAATTGTTAATTGTCAAATGTTACATGTTCATTTTTCATCTTGTTAGTATCAATTTTGAGTAGCCCTAGTTTCGACGGAATTTGAGTAGATCAAAACTAGAGCTACTCAAAATTGAGTACTAAAACTTGGTACTAACAAGAAGACAAATGAACGTGTTACATGTAACAATTAACAATTTACATTTAACATGTATCATTTAACATTAAGCATTTACCATTTGACATACACATTCAGCATTTAACATCTAACATTAAACATTTAACATCTCTACTCAATCTCCTTTACTGAAAATTGGGTAGTTTAGGATTAGCGTAAAGACCAGTTATTTTAACTGACAACAATGCGAGCTGCGCTTTCAAAAACGCGTTGAGTATGTCATAGCACGCATCACTCGACGCTTTATTGAAATTCAGAAAACGCGAACAACACGCGTTGCTCGACGCTCCGCGTTTCTATGTCATCGGCCATACACTCTTGCGCACTCAGCAGAGCATCAGCAGAAACTGCGTCCGACGAACCGCAATCCGCCGTCCGCTATACAATCTCTCAGCTCTCGCACCAATACAAGCCCGGGTGCAACAGTGGAGTGGATATCAGCACAAAGCAGCAGCGGAGCCTTTTCTCGATGGATTTTCGCTTCTTTTTCTCTTGCTCCCGGTGGTGGATTATTCCTATTCCTCCTCCTGCGCGAAGGCTTCTTTCAGCACCAACTCTGTTGTATCGCAATATAGGTGTGTTTCGGATTATCTCCTCGCTGCGAGGCACTCTTCCTTTTCTATTCTTCAGGAACTCGGAACGTGTTTCGTCCTTCAACGACGCCCACTTTCACATAAGCTTTCTGGAGAATTTTCCACAGCCACGTTTCTTCAACCGGTAGTTTTTCACTTTCTACACTATTGCTTGTATAGTAACTTCTAAATCATTGAAACAGTGTTCATGGTCACTAACTTTATTTTATGGACAAAAAACATGCACCTTCACGCCCGACGATTGTTTGCCGCTAATTGTGCACAATTTTCTGCTTCTGCTTCTGCGAATCGACAACGAACGATTATGAAAAAAATGGATTTTTGCCGGCTTTTGCCTGTCGCCGCCGGTGCTTGTTTGACCCTTTTTTTGACGGATAAGGCTAGGGATGTCAACATTTTAGTACGAGTTCGGATTTTGCGCGCGTTTCGAAGGCATGGCCCAGTGAGTTTGAGACAGGGTGACCAGCACCCAAATGGGAAATCTATCAAGATCAAAAAATATCCCGAATAAACAAACACTATTTGCAGTATATGCTTCTTATTGTACAATAAATTCAAACAGTATCGTGATGCATTGTTTTATCCATAAATAAGCGTAATATTTTTAACTCATTGAGGTATGAAGTGTACGATTAGTAAATTTATATTAATAATCCAACAAACAGTAAATGCGCAGACAGACACGAGGGCACCCGAAAAAAAAAATAATTTTAATAAAACAACGAAATTACAATGATTTTTACTGTTGAATTTCGAGCACATTAAATTTTATTTTGTTAAATTATTGTACGGGAGAAAAAATAGATTTCGATTTTTAACGATACAATGCTCAGACAACGAAAATTAGTGTGATGAAATCAAATTTGTTCGAGAAAAATCACTTTTTTTTATATTGTTAAGATCTAGAGGCAAGACGGCTGTACCAACAATCAATACGAAACTAACGATTTTAAATTGGCTTACCACTTTAGTAGCCTATTGGTCCCAAGCAAACGATTAACGTACCCTATTCTAGTTGAAATTCTATTACTACACTATGTTTGTTTTGATTCGCTATGAAAGTTTGACAGATAACATCAGGGGTGTGTGGATTCATGAAGAACATGCAGGGGTGAGTGAAATAGCTTGGGACTGCTTGGGACCGTTGTTCTGGTACTGAGTGAGCCAAAAATAATAATGATTTTCTTCGGGACCCAGTGGTCTTAGAGTTACCTCTATGGCTGTACTCAGAGTTAATATTTTCACAGTGAGCAAATTTGAGCAACTCATATTTACTCAAAAGTGATCAAAGTAGTCTCACATTCGTCAAGAAATTAAAAATTAAATCAGTATAAACATACATTATCGGTCAGAGTGTCAGCACACAAAGAACAAAAATTGTTGCTATAAAAATAATGCATAATCAAATTAAAAGTTTCCCAAAATTCGTAGCTTCAACTATGAAAGTTTTCAAAATTAAACTTATATTTTTGGTTTAAAAATGTTTCTTTCACTTTCGACTTGTAATTTTAAAAGTGATTTTTTTAAAATAAAAGTTGTAAAACTGTCAAAATACCTCTTCATTGCGTAGTTTTTGACAGTACTAGACCTCCGTTTCCCGCTAAATTTGACATGGGAAATAAAAAATAAAACAAAACCAGCTGTGAGAACTTGCAGGAGTAGCAGCAGTGTATTCTATTTTTTCATATATTTCATCCGCCGGCACGATAGTTTCCCTTCTTTACGATACGAATAATAATATGGAGGCACCCGCGGGGACACTACTGAGTGGAAGGATACTCCAGTTGCCGGATTTGGAGGTAAGTTGATGAAATTTTTAAAGACTTTCGATCTTGCTTCCGATTTGACTAATTGATGTGTTTTGATCTTCAGCAGCCTCGTCAGTCTTGCCGGAAAGGAAAGCTACTCCAATCAACCATCACCATTAAGCAGGAACTTTTCTTCAAGCACGTTCCCACACCGAGCCCATCAGGAAGTAATTATTCAGATATTAACTGTACCATTAGTGTAAAATGCTTCCAATGGAAGATTCCACAATGCAGTGGCCTTTCAGTGATGATTGAAAATTTTAATAAACTAAAATGAATTAAATTAAATATGTATGTGTTTCATTTTTCTAAAGCAATAAATAATATTTGAGATGAAAACGTACACCATTGCGATAAAAATGCCCATCTTTTAAATTAAAACCTTTAATGAGTATATTTAAAAACCATAGGCTATTAGATTGACAGTTCTACAATTCGATTTGAAAGTTTCAACTTTTAAAATTAAAGAATGAGCTACTTTTGAATTGACAGTTGGCCGACTTTTGTTTTGAATTGAAAAGACTTTCTGCCAAAAAGAACCAACGCAAACTTTTAATTCTATCAATGGTTTTTTTTAAATTTTATTAACGATAATTTTTTGTGTGAGGGTAATCCTATCCGTATTTTATTTTTTGTATTCTTGCATCAAATACTAATTAATCCGTGTGTTCTTCTTTTCAGTATGAATTACTCTTATATGCGTGGTCTCTACTATCGTGGGTAATAAAGTTGACGAATCAGGAAAAGGTATTTCCGATATGATCCGGAGAAATGAACCCGTTATTTGGCGTGCTTTATTACGAATTGCCAAGGGTGTATTCTTTCGATGATGATGATGATGATGATTTAGCATTCTATTATCAGTTTTGGCATTGAATCTTATAATGATCATGCATTGGAAAGTGCTGATTAGACCTATTTTTAGTTTTAAGCCTGTTCAAAATTTGACCAATCAAGCAAAATTGGTTAAGATTAAGAATCTTAAACGCTGTCCAGACTGGAGAGTTATAACATGTTATAACGGTTGTCAAATAATTGCAACACAGAAACCACCATCAAGATAGCGCTATAACATGTTATAACTCTGTAGTCTGAACGTACTATTAACCGCTTCAAATGTATGATTTGATTTCAGCATCTTATAGTACGTTCAGACTACATAGTTATAACATGTTATAGCGCTATCTTGATGGTGGTTTCTGTGTTGCAATTATTTGACAACCGTTATAACATGTTATAACTCTCCA